GTGTACCTGGCAGCGTCGACACAGTGCTGGACGTGCTGGCCAGCGAGTCGGCGCGTGAGAACTACTGGGTCGCGCTCAACACCATGAAGGACGTCAAGTCCGCGGCGCTGCTTTCAAGCGCGCGGCTGCAATCCCAGAGCCTTTCGACGTCGTCGTCCATCACGTCCGAGACCGAGATGGACGCCACGGCTTTCCCGCGATGGAGCCGCAAGTACACGGCCGCTAGGTTCTCCAAGCACAACTCACAGGTACTGGACTGTTGCTACGCCGAGTACGCGACGAGATACACCGAGACCAACAACGAAGGACACACGAGACACCGCGGATTCGTCTACCGGCGATCGGTCTCGGAGCACGCACTGAGTAGCACGTCCAGCGTGTCGGCGGAGCCGCTGGCCAAGGCAAAAGTTCAAGGAGCGGCGAGATTCTTCATCCGCGACTGGCTGTTTGACGTTATCGAGACTCAGGATCCGCTGGTCTGCAAGTTGGTGCTAACCTGCACGGTGTTCGTGCCGCCGATCTCGGGACGTGGAGCCACGGTGTCGAGATCGGACTTCCGTGAGTTCTGCACCGAGCTGATGGTAGGGGCACGTCGCGCGTTAACCCACCAGTGGAAGGACCACGCCGCTCATGCTGGCGTGCGGTCGGCCTGGCGACGAGAGGCTCGCTGTTGCACCGTGTGTTCGGCTCAGTTCTCGCTGCTTCGGAAGCGTCACACGTGCCGGTCGTGCGGGTCTGGAGTGTGTTCCAAATGCTGCTTAAAGACGGTTCCTGCTCCTATTTCTGACTTCAATAGCTCGATGGGGTTCGGCGCGAGACCGCAACAGCGTGGCGGTCATAAACGTGAGTGTCTGCTCTGCGCGCAGTTTGGTCCGGACAGCGGCGTCAATGGCCGCGCTAGTGGCGTGACTAGTAGAAGCCGCCACTTTTCCACTTCGATAGCCTCCATGTCTGCCTCCATGTCACGAGAGTTTGCTTCATCGCGAGGAGCTCTATACGACTTGGAACAGGAAGAAAGCGACCGGGTGCATCCGGATCTAGAACTACGATCCACCACGTCCGTCTCCGGCTCAAGACGTCGACACAGCCAGCGGAGTGTAGGTAGCGTCGGTAGTCAGCGCAGTATCAGTGGACCGGATGACGATGACGACGAGTCGGATGAAGACGTTCGGCCATACACGCCGCGTCTCGATCTACGAGCTACAACGTCCAAGCTTCGCACGGCATCCACAGATTCGAGCCGTAGCTCTCGCAGTGGCCCGGGTATCGTCCTGTTATCGGATCTCGAGACACTGACGCTTTCAGGTAGTTTCCACCGCATGTCTGCGCGGTCATCATCTAGTTTGTCTGCCAGCTTATCGGCGCGATCACCGATGAACGCAGCGCCGAGGTTGTCGGCCAGGTCCGCAGCCCCTCCTTCGGTTTTGCAGCACCGGCACGACCGCGCTGCGTCAGAAGACAATGTACTCTTGACGACATCTGTCAAGCCTCGCGTCGGCACGAGGGACGTACCGCAGGAGAGCAGCGCTAGTACCGAAGAAGACGAAGACGTATACTCGGAAGACGATCTGGCCAACTTCACCCTCAAGTTGCAATAAGCAATTGAATGAGTACTTGGTCTCTTATATTTCGTTTATTTAGTCGCAGCTTCACTGCCGAACAGAAAAAAAAAAATAGCAATCAACTAACCACTGCGTGTCTTTGGCGATGTTTGTCTATCTATTTCAGTCTTCATCACTGTGTCATTATTGCCACGCTCAGAAAATATATTTTCGTTCCACTCCCGTCGGTGCTGGCATCACATACTCGTTGTTTTTAGTGCTGTGGGGACGGACAAATGCCGTCGCGTAATTCGCGCATCTCGAATGCGTCAGCTCAATATTTGCGCACGGAGTTGGACGAGGTGGCAGAAGTGGAGACGCGAGTGCAGCATCAACGGTGGTGGTCTCTTCGCTTCGAGCATCCGGTCATGGAGCAGCGTTTTCAGATTTACTACGAAGAGTCCTCGATCGTGTCAAGCAAGTGGGCCTGCGGTGTCACGCTGGGATCGGCTGCTGCGCTTCAAGCTGCTGTTTTCTACGATACATTTACTCTTAAGTCGCACGAGAGGACCCCCTGGGTGTTTGTTGATATCGCGGTTGCCGGCAATGCTCTTCTACTGCTACTCTGGGGCATTTTTCTTTGGACAGCTCGCCGACGCAAACGCCTTGGTGCTTACTTTCAGATCATGATTTTTGTGCTAGGATTGAGCATGCTCTTGCTCATTCTCGTTCTTGGGTTACCATTAGCAGCATACGAGACCGAAGCTGCCAGTATCAGTGAACAACAGGACCTGAAAATTCTAGCTGAGCTGGATGAAGCTAGAAAAGCGCACGATGTTACTCGAACAATGTTTTTCCTGTTGATGCTTCTTGGGGCTATTGCCACGACATGGTCCGCTCAATTTCTCGCTTACTGCGCCTTAGCGACGTGCACGTTGTTCGCACTTGGAGGGTGGATTATCGGCTGTTCGGACTATCTTCGACGTCAATGGCACCTTGTTGCACTCTTCATCTGCAGTTTGTTTCTTCTTGGCAGAGTTATTTATTGTGGAGAACGCAACTTGAGAAATAAATTCCTTCGGGCACGTCGTTTAATGCTAGAAAATCTCAAGCTTTCTCGACAAAACTCCGTTATGCATCAACAACTGAGCTGCCACGTTAATGCTGTTGGCATTGGGAACGGACGTCATAGTGAGTCTCGGGCTGCTACCTCCAACGGTGGGAGCCGTGTTCTTCCGCAAAAACAAAGATCAAAGATTCGACCTAAGAATGGTCATGCTACGTCGGACCCGCCAGCAATAGGCGAAAGCTGGATGGAAAATGTGCTCCGAAGCCTTGTACAGTTGCGTCAGCGGCTTCAAGACGATGAACAGACCACCGGTGAACTGGATTTTGTTTTACAAGCGCTGACTTCTGAGCATGATCTCTTCCTCGATACCTGGTCTCGTCAACGACGTGTGCCTGCTGGAGAAAAAGCAGGCACAGGTTGGTTGTCTCTCCTTGAAGAAAAGCGCAATCGACGACGCAAAACTGAAGGCAAGCAGCAACAGATCCCTTCAACTCTGGCATTTCTGACAAAAGCTCTTCGGCGAACCTCCTCAGGATCTCGAATGACAGTGCTCACATTACTTGAAAATTATCTTCCACCTCCTGGTGATAACAAGTCGAGTGAACAGAAATATTGGCCACCAGATGAATTGCTATCCCTCTCCGCTACTTGCCAAGAACTAGACTTGTTCGCCTTTGCGCAGTCCTGCACCGTGCCACTCACAACATTGCTACTCACGACACTTGAAAGCCACAATGTATTTGTCACTCTTCCGTTGCGGATTGAAAGTGTTGCCGATTTTGCTCAAGAGATTGAGCATCGCTATCAGCCCAAGAATCCTTACCACAATGCACTGTACGTCTCGGTAGTGTATCCGGTATTTGTTACGGTTGGTCTAACCTGTTTGGTGTTGTCTTTCCAGGCACGCAGCTTCAGTCGTATGGGACGTC